AAACTTTCTCTCTCTCTCTCTCTCTCTCTCTCTCTCTCTCTCTCTCTCTCTCTCTCTCTCTCTCTCTCGGTTTTCAAAACTTTAGATCGTTTAGCAAGAGGGGAATTGAGATGCATTATTATCTGGCAATGTCTGTTGTTCGCCTGTATCGTATAATATCGATCTTCAGACCAATTTCATTCCTGAGGGATCGAGCAAATGGTTGGGAGCAGTACAGGGAAGATGGCTTTTGTGGATCAAAGTCAATGGCCGTAATTGGGTGCCATGGAGCTGATCAAAATGGTAATCATGTGACCACGGAACACCGTTGTTGTTGATAGTGTGTGTGATCAGAGAGGCGCCAGTGGCTGTTTGATTGCCGATGCTGTTGTGACCTGTTCGTGCTGCTAACCCAATGGCGCAACAGTGGCGTGTAGTTCTTCTTCGCCATCTTGCTCGTGTGGGTGAGAATCTTGTTGATAAGGACAAACCTGTGCTGTCACTCGTGTCCTCGAGATCACGTCCACCTGTGTCGCTATCGTGCTCGGGTGGGCAATACAGGCAGGCGTGTGATCTGGATTGCAGGGGAGACAAGTTGGGAGCAGGGTCAGGCAGTAGGGATAGGGAGGAGGAGGCCATGAACATACGAAGGATGGGTAGGGAAAGAGGATATGGCACGTCCTGGTCTTCTATGGTCAGGGAGCTCTCGAGCAATTTTGGGGAGCGCAATGTCATTCTGGACGCATGGAAGTGGAGGCCTCGAGTTGAAGTACACGTAGGAGGACGCTTACGAGGAACCCCAAGGGTTGCGCTGAGTAGTGGAAGGAAAGGTTCAGCATCAGAGAGGCTATGGGAGAGAGAGGAGAGGATCCGTTGGCTTTGGACGTCGACGGCGACAAGGGAGAGCACTCGGGAGGATGGGTCTGAAGCAGGGGATAACGCCCGATTTGAACAGGGGGAGTCTACTGTCACCTACCTGAAAAATTGGGAGAATGGAGCTGAAGTGTACCTTGTCGGGACAGCACACATTTCTCAAAAGAGTGCAGAGGAAGTGAGGGATCTGGTGCGACGTGTGCAACCTGATTATGTTATGGTTGAGCTTGATCAGAAGCGCTTCGAAAAACTACAACGGGCAAGAGCGCACGACCAAAGCTTCTTCAAGGACTCTCTCTCTCTGCTCACTCAAGGGAAAACTGGGATTCTGGGTAAACTGATTGGGGTTGGGCTGATGGGCTTCTATCGTCTTCTTGCCAAACAAGGTCTATTTCCAGGGGAAGAATTCAAGGCTGCAATCGATGAAGCAAAGGCGGTCCGTGCAGAGATAGTGCTCGGTGATCAAGATGTCGAGGAAACTCTTAGGAGGCTAGAGGCTGGGTTGACGTTCAGTGATGTTCTGTCGTTTTTCCGAACGCCGATGCCTGATGACCTGAAGCAGACTGTTAGCAAGGTTGCCGAGGAGAAGGGGCAGAGCATTGAGGCCATGGTTGAGGGCCTGAAGACCCGGAAGATGGCACGGAAACTTGTTCAAGAGATGAGAAAGAAGGCACCACACATAGCCAAGGTGATGATTGATGAGAGAAATGAAGTGATGGTGTCCAAATTGAGGGGGCTGAAGGGGAAAATTGTTGCCGTTGTTGGACTTGCGCATGTGGATGGAATGGAAGCTTCGTGGCACAAGCTAAATAGGCACGCATGCGATCCGTTGTAGAAGTCCTTGTGGCATTGACCCGCATTGCAGATGCATAAGGTTTTTGCACCTTAATCTGGAGGACGGCAGTGCCTGTCATTTGTGACTAAGCGATGGCAGATTAGATTCTTTACTGGGAAGCGCTCGTGCCACCTATCCTGTGGCCGCACCTTGGTGATAGGGTCGTATTGCGCAGATGTCCGCTGGCTCTCCGGAGGTCGCATTTGCGAAACCTTGGCTCAATGCTTTGTGTGCACGGCTAGTGGACCCCTGACACCCCTGCCAACCTCCCAGAATATGTCCCTTGCAGAGGATATCTGGTGGGGATCCACAAGGAAGTGGAGATAGCTTTTCATATTCTTTAGAGAAGGGGGACAAGATTAGCACTGTTGTGCAAAAATGAAGGCTGCAATTGCACTGCATTTGCTCAGCCTCAGTCACCGGACATCCTGAGGACAAATATCGACCTCTTGGGAGAAGTAAAGTGACTTTGGCGTGGAAGGCTACTTGTCAGAGTGGTGAAAACACGGGAGCGGACTGGGGGCATACCATCTACCTGTTTCGATGGGTATGTCAAACACAAGGATGCATGTGACTTTGGCATGCCGGTTACCTGTTTCAGTGGTGAAACAGGAGAGAGGAATGGGGGCATACCAGCTATCTGTTTGTATGGCAGCAACTCGAGAGAGGAATGCGGGGGTACCCGAGCACGTGCATGCGCTACTCTTGCATACGGGCAACCTGTTTCGTGGGTGAAAACACGACAGAGGAATATGAGCATACATCAGGAATCCATTTCAATGGCAAAAACATGAGAGAGGGATACGGGCATACCAGCTCTCTTTTCCAATGGCGAAAGCGTGCTAGAGGAATGTGGTATTTCAGATTTCTCGTAGTTGCCTCTTTTTCCAATTCTGCTTTCTGCCACGTGCCAAAAATTTAAGGATCTGGGACGGGTATGGCGTCGCATCTTTTTGGGTGGCGCTGCGAGCCTCTCCGTCCAGTAGCCCAACCCACAATTTTCTGTCGGTTTAACCGCCGCGCTGGAACAAAATAGCCGGGAAACGGACTGGTGGTTTGAAAAATGAGAGAAGTTAGCCCTAGGAGTTCAGGGTTGGCAAACTGTGAGGTAAATCTTCAGTGCTCCCACCGTTGCTCCCGCCAAGGGGTACTTGGTTGGTGTATGCTCTCTCTGATGTAGCATGGAACATTGCTGTAGCACACGCGGGACGATCGACTGAAGTTCTGACCACTCAAATGCCCACCAGATTCCCCCGAAAGGCTCTCCATTGGGGTAAACACAGCGGTACTTGCTCGTCAATGTGACCTAGCTCTGCCCCATTGTCGAAGTGAGGAGGAGTACACGAACGCAGAAACCACCAGTCTCTTTGAGGCCTTCCAAATCCTTTGCCCGTCCGTATACATGGAGACCACACTTTTGATGTAGCTGCCTGGTGGGAGCTGAGTCGATCCACTAGGGAGCGGAGAACTGTCCGGAGCGAGAACATAGGCTGGGAGAAAGAAAACGAAAAAAAAACAACAAAAGATGTGCGTTGAAAAAAAGAAACAAGATTCTTTTTTTTACATAGATAAAAAATAAAGAAATGGAAGGTGTTTGCATGAAAGTTCCCTTGTGCTAGAAATAAATGCATTCCAAGAAGAGTGCAGGCTCTTCGTACAGAGGCGTTTGCATGAAAGTTCCCCTGTGGCCATTGTACTAGGACATTGGGACCCTTCTGAACCCATCTGTATACATGGAGGCCGCGCTTCTGATATGCCTGCGTGGTGGCTAGTGGTTCAATTCGTTAGGGAGCCGAAAACTGTTCAGTTCGACAATATAGGCTTCGAGAGAGTGGACCATGAAAAAAAAGTTGATTCAGACCCCATCGAGTAGTGGTAGTGGTTGGGTGTTAGGCATATACGATTCCCACGTGTGGGCTTCAGGTTGATCTCACGATGCTTGTGGGCTGGGCTTCATCCGGGTTGGTGTCTGTCTGAGTTCTCACTGAGGGGTCGACTGGGGCGTGAGTGTGGGGAAGGGCTTCTAGGTAGGGTGCCATCTTAGGCAGAGGGGGAAGGGTGGAAGGGTTGTCGCATTGATGTAGAAGGGTGGCTTCGCCGCCCATAGAGTTTGCGTGATGTGATACAGGGGGCGAATGACCGTGTATGTCCATGACCTCTCCTGTATCCGGGTTGTCCTCGAGATTCGGGGTGTCCCTACAGTAGCGCCCTGGGAGAAGTGTCTACGACCCCTCGGAAGGCGCGGGTTGGTGTAGGTCTGGGTCTAGATAGAGAGGTCTGGGTCCCACTGCGATAAGACTAGGATATAACAGGTCATGAATGACACCCCCTAGAGGAAGCATGTCCTTGGGGTTGTCACAAGCCATCCGATCCCCTCTCTGGTTGAGCAAGACGACAGACACTTCCCGAGGCCTACCATCCACCCTCTACCACAAGATGGACCTTTCTCCCTTTTTTTCTTTTTTTTTTTTAAGTTGAGTGAGCCCCTACGGTGGCAAGGAGGAGGACGCGTTAGCGCATGAACAGTGTTATGCGCGTCAGCGCAGGAACACTGCAGATGTTGTGGTAAGGGAAGGAGGAATGCTATGTGCAAGCTACAGTGCTGCAACAGGCTTGTGACATAGGACCTTGATCCAGCTAGTCTCTGTATGGGTCGCCATAGTTGAGGCGTGCAGGGAGATGTACAATAGTGTGAACAAGAGATTTGGGCACTGGCCATTGCTATGCACTGCAGAGTCGGTTTACACATGGGCTCCATATTGTGCCGAGATTTTGAGTCTCTGGAGTCCAGCCTTCGTGAGATCGCGTGTTAGCACGTCTAAGCTTTTGAAATGTGCACTGTCCTGAGATGATGCTCGCAATTATGCATTCTTGCGACTCTCCTCAGCAGGAGGCCTCTTCCTGCGATCTTCAACAACATAATTAGCCAGCTTCATCAAGTACCAATTTCAAGAATCAAGATCTTGATCGGGAACTGTTGGTCAATGGTGCGGGTGTGTGAGGGGTGTGCGAGGTGCGGTCCCATGGAGAGTTTGTGCTGTTGGTCCTCCCCTGGGGAACTCTTCCTCCCATCATCATCAGCAGTATTAGCTAGTTTTCATCAAGAAATTTGTCGACTCTCATGAGTTCTAGACACATAGGAGAGAGGGTCTTATGTGAGGAGTTGTGCACTGTTCTCCTCTCCTCCAGAGGCATGGAAGATAGCACAATCATTCCCTCCTGCTCCTTCGCCGCCTACATCTCCTCCTCCATCTCTTCCTTCTTTCGTGTTTGGTCCCCCCTTTGTTGGGAAGGGTGGGGTGGACAAAGTAAAGGAGGGGAGGGTTTGGAGGAGGGCTGGGGAAGCGAGCTGCCACGGTTGGAAAAAGGATTGAGGGTGAGGATGTGGCAAAGAGTGCGCGGCGAAAGGACAGCACTTCCCGATCCACTGTGCTGACCATTGCTTTGCCGCAGTCTCTCCTCCCTCTTCAGACCATTGTTGGAGAGGAAAAGGATGACAAAGGAGTGTAGTAGTTGGAGGAGGGGCAGGGGAGGGAAGTGTGTGGAATGGGAAAGGAGAGAGGGGATAGGAGGTGCGAGAGAGTGGAGAAAGGAGGGAGGCATGGAATATGTGTTCGTGGGGAGCTGTCGCTGTCCTTCCCGGTTTGAATGAAAAGTGTCGGAAGATTTAGGATAGGGGAGGGGTGATCATAAGGAGGGAAACAAAGGCAGATTAGCGTCGTCGTTGAATGCAGATATTCTAGCGAGTTCCACTAGAATCAATGTTGGTATTTCATGCTATCTCGTTTGGTGTTTAGGATTTCCTCCTTGGCTTTTCACTGTCTTTTGACGTATCTGGATCATCAATCTCTGCATTTTTACTCTGCTATTTTAGAATCCAGATACAACAAGTTCTTAAACCACCAGTGCATTTGCCAGCCATTTTTCTCTGACACAGCCCGCATGCGTGCCAAAAGTTTTGGGGGTCGACCGGCCGGAGCAAAATAGCTGCCGGCACCACCCAAAAGAAGGCCCGCACCGATTCATTTTTCTTCGGCGCGCAGGACGTTTCCAGCCTCGGCAAGGGAAGGGTCAAATGTACTGGTGGTTTAATAAACCAAAAAAAAATGCGGAGTAATCTAGAGTGCGGATAGTATTCATGGTGTCCTCGGTTTCTGAAACCTGGCTTGTTCGGATTGTACAATTGGATCATCTTGTAACTACCATCTTGATTAACTCTCACATTTAGTTTGTTCGGACAGGCAACTGTCTTTGTTCGATCAAGGCGCTGCTCAATCAATGCAGAGACTGGTAGTTTACTCTCTAGCCGAAGCCGGGCAATGGCCCCGGTATCTTCTATATATCTATAATATTCTATATCAAGTTATCAACTCCTCAAGCATGCAGCTGGTCTTGGACGACGCTTCCCGCTGGGCCCAAGGTGTCCCAGTGGTGTCCCGTTTCCTCAGGCCAGGTTTTTCTTTTTCCGTTGCAAATTTCAGTGGCTGTGGTCGAGGGCTCAAATCACGCCGTGTTGGTCATCTCGAAGTGCATTTTTCCCAGTTTTTTCGCGTTCAGTTTGAATCCCGCTGCAGGTTTGTGTTTGTTGTTTCTTTTTTTTTTTTTTTTTTTTTTGTTGTTGTTTCATTTGGTGCTCCCGTTTTTGTCGTTATGTGTTGAGCCTCCCGCTTTTGTTGTTTTGTGGGTCTCGGAAGGCCCGTTCGTTTGAAATTAGGACAACAGCATGGGGCATTCTGGCAGTTGCCAAAACGTATCTGACCGGCATTGCGGCCACATAATGACGAATTGCAAAAAGAAAAACAAAAAAAAAGCGCCTAAAAGAAAATGTGAACAAAAAAAAGAAATGTAGGTGACCGCTGTTTCGGCCACATGATGAAGAATTGCAGAAGAAAAAAAAAACTGTGCCTGCACGGATGTGAAAGGAGGCCCGGGGCCAGGTCCCACTAGCAGTGTTGTGTTTCCTCAGCGCCTGAATCTGGACATGTTTGTGGGGAGCTGCGGTCAAGGAAACTCAACGTGACTTTTGCACATCTCCACAAACACGTCCAGATTCAGGCGTTAAGGAAACTAAACCCTGCTAATGGGATTTGCCCCTTGTTCTCCTTAAAAAGAAAAAAGAAAAAAAAAAGAAGAAAAAGAAGCCCCGTTCGGAGTGGAAAGAACACCCATCTGCCCTGATACCCCATGCCTGCACGTGTCGATCTTAGAGCATCCTCACGCTACAACATTTGGGGCAACGCTCTAGACGTGATTATGGCTAGATTCATCAACATTGAGCTGGAATTTCGCACTCAAATACAGTCCGGAACGTGATGGTGTGCCATCCCCTTACAACCTCTGCCAGTTGACTTGGTTTTTTTTTGGGCTTTTCTTGTCCTTTTCTTTGAGGGGCTCGGGTTTGTTGGGTTTCTTTTATTTCTTCAAGGGGGGGACGATTGGACACCCCCCTCCATGTAGCGTTGTGCCCATCAACCTGCACTATGTAGGTCAGCGCACATAGTGCCACCGGGTGTTCGGCGTTATGACCTGCCCCACGCGGATCAATAGCACCCAGCCCATGTACTGCTGCTCGGTCGACATGGTATCATCCATCCCACATAGTGCCACTCGGCCCGCTAACCGCCCTGCACACGTGCTTCCCAACCTACATCATGCATAGTAGTCCCCAACCCAAATCCCGCGTAGTACTGCCTGTTCCATATGGTAGGACCCGCCCCGAGCAGAATACACCATGGGAGATGGCGGAGAATCAAAAGCATCTTTGACTGGAGCCATTGGCCTGCGGGCACCCACCGTCGGAAAAGGAGGCCGTGCTGCAGGAATGGCGGGAGAGGCTCCAGGGCATAGGTCTGCCCGCGGCTGTTGGCTGTTGGCTGTTGGCTGCGGCCGTGGGACGCAGCACGCCAGATTACATGTTCACTGTAATCTCTTTATAATCAAAGCCTTGGGCTTTGGGCCTGTTTTGGTGGTGGTGGGGAGGGACGGAGGGAGGTGGGGCAGGGAACCATGATAGAGAAAAGGATCAAGTGGTTTTTCAAGTAACAAC